GGTGTGACAACAGCCTCATTATTACTCAAAATTTTGAAGCATATAGTATATGATACATCATTGAAGGGGCGACCCGATGGTAAGGCAACTCAAGCAACCGCTTGAGGCTCCATATCTATGGGGGCCCAAAATTTCCTAATATTAAATAGCTGCATATGATAATTTAAAAAAAAAAATCTAATATATAAAAAAAATGCATTTTTCATGAAAAAGGAAATAAGAGATAATTTGGTAATATAAATAGTTACTTTTGTGATTCAGCCCTAAACTTTAGGTGTGAATATGTTTCTTGACTCCTTTATACACTATCGTCATTATCATGAGGCTCATATTACTTTGATTACTTTGTCTTTCTTTACAATTCCACTATCTCATAAAACATTCCGTCATGTAAGATAGCAAAAGGCAATTGCAACCCTTTTTTGTCAAGCTTTCCCGGCATTGCACCAAAAATATTGAAGCAACAAAAGTAATATCAAGTTATGTATAACTGTTTGTTAAACCAAGTTCAATTGTTCCGTACTTTTCTTATTACTTTGCATCTAGAATTTGTTATTTTTTGATATCTTTTGTTTGTAAGTATATGTATCATCTTTTTATTTATTTATTATGAATTTTAATATGTCAACAAGAAAATATGAATCCGCGTATTAAAAATGCCAAAAAATGGAAGAATTGGAACTTTAATACAATCCCAAAAAGGAGCGCTTGATAAATTTTTAGCGAACAATAAAAATTTTAAATAAAAAATTAGGATTTTTTTTGTGGTAGATGCACAAATCACTAATATAGTTGAATTAGACAGACAATGAAATCCAAGAAGAAGAAGAAGAAATTGGTGAGTCACGGATTTTTTTAGAAAATCAGAAAATCCTAAAAGAATTGAATAATAATTCTAGAAAGTGGAAACATAAATAATCTTAATCAAGAAATCGATTATAAATAAATTATTAATAATTTTACATCACAAAAAACTAAAAAAGTAAATTTTAAATAAAATTTTACTAAATAAATTTTTTAATACCGAAAAATTTAAGACCTTAAAGTTTAGTTTTAGGCTCCAAATATCGTTGGGCCGCCCCCAGCATCATTGATCAAGTTAAAGTATAACCAAGAATTAGTATGTAATGTGAAGGCTTTACGTACGGGAAAAAATCAAAGCGTTGATGGAATGGTTCCACCACAATCTCAAAAGAAGAAAAAACACCTGTAATTGACCTTGATCCGGAAAGGACGACTTTGTCGATTCCCTTTCAGTCTTTTTAATTTATAAAAGGATAAAAGTTGTTAAGGGGGACCGAATCTTTTTCGTTCTTGTTCTTGGATAATCTAAATTCTTGTAAAATATTACACTCACATGTCTAAACTTCCAAAAGTATGGGATCTATAGGACAAAAGTTGCTAGGGTGGACTTTGGTCCTACACATATTAACCGAAATGGATAAAACTTCTAATCTAGGACTATCCGAATCCCAAACCTACTCCTTCTATCAAATTTATATATGGCAAACTTTTTTTAGTTGTCTATTTAAAAAGAATGTTATTTTTTTATTAAAAAAATAATTTAACTTTCCAATTATCACTTATCTTTAAAATATAATTCATAGGCAAATAAATTTTTAAAACTTATTTTAGATCATAAAATTTAGAAATCTTCTTTTATTTTTTACTATACTTGGGATTTTTCAACACTTTTTAGTATGTAATTATTTGTAAAGCTTAATCTTGATGTTTTAGCTTTTATTTCACTCTTTTATAGGTTTTATTTAAAGAAAATTAAAAATACAAAAATAGTTGCATATTTACATATTTAGTTTGTTTTCATTTGCAAAAGAAAGGAAAATTCACAAAAATAGGTTTTCTTCTGATTTGATGAAACTAGGAATTTTATAACTTTTTCTTAGTAGTTTTTTATATTTTCTAGTATATATAGACAAACTAATTTCAGCGTGTTCACATTGTAACCAATTAGAACTAACTCAAATGGAAAAAGTTAAAGAGAGTTTGCTACTTAAACGTAATTGAATTTATTACTTGAAACGCAAATTAGATCACGGACTAGCTTCTTTACATTGTTGGCAACTTGGCATATAGTCTAATTTAGTCAAATTTCTTCAATTCCAGATACTGCCTCCAATTACGCAGAACCATGCACACATAACAATTTCTCAATTAAAGTTAACCACTTTTGCATTTAGGGGAATACATCAGTGTCATTTGATTGTCATCCTGTTAAGTTTGGGGCTGAAAACTTTTGAGTAGCTACACATCTTCTTTCTTTGTCTTTAAATCCTGCTGAGTTCAAGTTGCTGTTGGTATATATGTAATTGTTAGATAAGAATATGCATTTTGTTTTCTCTCCAACTTATCTTCACTAATTGTACTTTTGTTTTGGGCAAAGCGACAACTAATGATCAAGACATGATCGTAGGTATATTCATTAAGCTAATTGATCATTTTTCTTTGTTGTCAATTAAAGAAAACCAAGCATCGTTTTAGAGAATACCACTTATTATGGTAGAGGATAACAAAATGGTAGTAAAGAAGAATATTCCACTTGATAACATAAGTTTGACTGAGGTCATTCTCGTAGCTAACTCACATGTTTCCTCTATTTTATATTTGTAACAAGTATCTTTTATATACCACTTTCATAATAAAAAAAATGATTTTCACCCTTTTTCTTCTGTTCCTGCATGCATTCTCATCTTGGCTGCTAATGCTATTGAATGGTAGAAACCACGACTAGTATAGGTATATCATATCTGTGGTCCATATACTTTCTAAAAGAAGCTATGATGCTATTCTACCGTAGAGGCATATTCCCGTAAAGTGAAAACTGAAGAATTATTATATTTCACTCTTGACTATTGAGCCATTAGTTAAGGAATGGTAATACTTGGGGTGCCAGTTACTTCATAAGAAAAATAAATGGGGGGCTGATTTTTTTATTTATAGAAGTCCAAGTGCTCATATATTAATAGCATTAATTAATTAAACCTGTATATAGGCTCATTAGTTTTATTTCTTGCTTTTCTAAGTTAACTTAATATCCTTCACAGAGAAACTTCTTGTGATGCGCAGAACATTTAAAGTGTCTTTTTAAGAGGTTGTGGCCCTTTCCATTGGGAGGAGATCCCTTCCACCAAAATTGACATTTTTTTCATTTGTAAATAACTAAAAATTTCCACGTAATTTTAGACGAAACAATAATAAGAAAATCCAATGCTAACGGGACCGTTTATATATATTAAGTTTTTATTGCACTATTCGTTTTACAATTACATTCGTGCAGTTGTAACAAACTAAAAAAAATAGTAAACTTATACACTACTTTATTTCATATAATGCCGCGACAGATTGGGCATGTAGCAGATCTTGGCATCCATCTATGGATGCAATGCGGGTGAAATTTTTGGCCGCATGAAAGCTCAACTTCACCTCCAGTCATCTCGTTCAAGCAGATCGTACAAATTTCTGTAGGACGCTCCTGCATCTCTATGTCCCTCTCCGCTGGATCACGTAGACACCACTTTCTAATGCCAATAATCAATACACACGTGAGTGCCATCAGAGCCCCAAGAAAAAAGTAGGATTTCCACGCGGGCTTTGACCAGCTACCACGGTGATGCACGTGTTGTGCAACAACATGGCTTTCGGACAGTAGAATTAGCCAGAAAACCAATTTGGACATTTCAGCACCTATGAGTAAATTTGAGGAAGAGATTCTCAAGAAAGAGTGTGAGAAGGAGATGAATGGGAAAATGTGTAACAAGAAGCCAAGAATGCAATAGCTTTATCTGAAAAGTTATCTTTACTTATTCTTGATGATACCGTTAAAACTGAAAACGACGATGGTTTGACGATGAAGACGAAGACGGAAAGGTGCAAGAGTTGTAAGAAGAAGGTGGAATTAGTAGGGTTTAGTTGTAAGTGTGGTGAAATATTGCAGGACTCATAAGTACTTAGAGGAACATGCATATACATTCAATTTCAAGCTTTTGGCCGAGGAAAATCCTCCTTGCAAAGTTGATAAACTTGAGTATATATAGAATCCTCGTTCCCTTTGTTTTGATTAATACCATTTAATGTAAAGTTGCACTTTCCTTTTGAGATTATTTTGACTCATACGTCTCTGCATCCATGGTGAATGAAGCTACATAGATCTCAATTTCCTGCATTAGTTTCTATTCTTTGTGTGTGGGTATTTTACACAAAACATATTTCTTTTTTCGTTTCAGTATAGATCCAAGTAAAAATATTTTTTCATTTTATATGTACTTCACTTTAATAGTTTATTCTTCTTAACTAAGACTAATTAATATGTTTTGATAGTATTATTATTTTTATTCTCGAGAAAGAGAATTGATTTGGGGAAGATATGGTCTTGATTTATAATCCAAAGAAGGCCCAATGTCGGGTATCCATGAGCCCAATTCGGCCAAATCCAGCCCATCATCCGCCCGACCCATCAACCCAACAGCCCCTTTAATTAAAATCTCAGCCACCCATTCCATTTTAATCCACTGGCCAAGATTAATTTTTCCCTATCATATAAAACTTCAATTATAACTCAAAACCCAAACCCTAACTTTCTAAGAGCAGCCGCACCCACCTCTCCAAACCCCCTCTGCCGCCGCCCCTAGCCCGCCGGAAATCCACAAATCCGGCACGCGTTTTGGTCTTTGCCACGTAGACCTAACCCTAACTAACTCTGACACCGAATATTCTCTCATCCTCGTCTCTCCTGAAACCTCTAGAAGGCTTGTATGGGATGAGTGAAGAGCATTGGATCGATCTTGATCAATCCGAGCCCTTCATTCATCACGTGCGCGTCTACCGCGTCTACAAAGGAGATTTCGGCTCATTTTCTTGAAGGACAAGGAGAAGTTTAGAGATATAGGGTCTGGACACGATTTTTAGACAGAAAGATGGAGAGGAAAATTAGAGTGAAAAGCTAGGGCTCAAAAGAAGTGTTTGTCTTTGGANTATATATATATATATATTCACATTTTAATTTCTTTCATTCGATTTTGGGTTTCAAAAATGATGGTTTTTGATTGAATATTGGAGTTTGCGAGTCCGTTCGAGTTCGCCGTCGGCCGTTGGTTCCCATCCGTGGTTCGTGGTAGTGTTCCTGTGGCCATCTCAGTCTTGTGGTCGAGTTCGAGTCACTTAGTTGGCTTGTATTTGTTTCAGAAAAGATTAACCAAGCGGATTGAACATCATTCAGGTCCATTTCCTTCCCTATCTTTGTTTTCGGTGCTGATTTAAAGCATGATGAGAGCTTAGGGTAAAAATTGAATGAATTCAAGTGTTAATAGAAGCCGATTTTTGCGGGGTTCAAATAGTATTGAATTTGTATGAAAACGTCTCCTATTACATGTTTTGTTTTACTCTTGGTATTTAAATGTCTTACAGTTTCGATTCTGCCCAGCCCCAATATGGTTGATTGAAGTTCGATCTGATTGTGTGATAATCTTAATTGATGAGACATGCCGTGTTACTGTTAGAGTTCGCTTGACTAGTTTCTTTGATGAATGCAAAGTTTTATGCTAATGCGCCTTGATCGCTTCGTAATGACTTGATGGATATCTGCATATTTCTTAGGTTCAAATGGAATCACTTCCATGCCTTCTTGTTATTACAGTTTCATTCTGCTTCTCTATGTTGGTTAGCGATAATGTCTGATTAATTTGTATGTAGGCCTGTTCTTGCTCACTGGAACTTGAAAGTCGACTCATGTTGGTTGTTTGATTTATTCTTCTCAGTTTGAGCATGAAGTAGTGCTGGAAATATTAGTTGAGTTTTCCTGCCCGTTGATGAGTTAGTTCACTCGCCTAGTACTCTAAATTCGCTTGCCCTTTTGTTTAAGATTGGCTTGATTCGATACAATGTTTTTAGATGCCTCTGTTCGAGTGCCATATTTGTTTGAAGCTTAGGAGTTAAGTCCGTGGTTTAGGAATTAATGCGATTGATCAACTAAACATTTACTGCCTTTTGTTCTGTTTATCCCATGTGCTAACTGATAATTCTATCTGATTGCTCTTCCCCCTATTAGAATATATTAGCATCTTTTCTCGAGGCTTGATTAGTTTGATCCTATTTCCTGTTTGTAAATTGGCGTTATAACTGTGAATGCGAGAAACAATTGGTGGTTGAATTCTTGTGTCAAAAGCTCGGAGACGACTGTGAATATTAGCTACTCGATATGAATTCCGTAGTAAATCCTTACATCGGGAAAGTTTTTAAGTTTCAATTTATATTTGAAGATAAATTGAATGATTGGTGAAGAATGCATCTGTCCAAGTCTGTTTGATTAACTTTACTAATCTGAAAAATGCATTTGTATTAACTTTGGTCAATAGCACATGTGTTGGTGTTCTGCTTAGACGCTGATTCCTTTGGATTCTGTTAAAATCATTAGTGATAATCAAGTCTCACATGAACTGAATCTCTGCTGATTACTAAGTCACATGATGGTCATGGTTAATATAAATTGGTTGCTCCATGAAAAGCTGAAATTGCAAAATTGGTAGAAGTCAGGTATTGAACTTGTCTGAGTTTCTCATGTTCTTTAATGATGTGTGCTGGCAGACTCGGGTGTTTTTAAATGAAGAAATATCTTTAAAGATAAGGGTTAGTCCTGTGGGGGATGGGTCGTTCCTATGAGATTAAGAGTACAGGAGAGGATTAAATGACCATTTAGAAGCTCTCATCATGCTTTGAGTCCACCTTTTCTTTCATTCTGCTTGCTTTCGTTCTCCATTTTAGTTTTTGATGCTTTATCTGCAAAATGTTTGATTTTGGTTGGATGCAAAACTGTTTGAATGAATGATATTGGGTCGTGGGGTTGGACATTAAGGAGTTGAGTTTATAATGTTAATTATTTATTTTATTACTTAATCGCCAAGAGCATGTTAGGCCGTCAACATTTGGGTAGGCAAACTTTAGGTCTTTCTTTATTTTTATTTGAGGTTAGAGGCCGTCAACATTTGGGTAGGCAAACTTTAGGTCTTTCTTTATTTTTATTTGAGGTTAGAGGCCGTCCCCTAGTCTATTATTTTATCCGGGGAATGCCGAGGAGCTTGTAATTATTTCTAAATCAGAGAAATGCCCTGTAGTGCCATTTAATCGGAAGCTGTGACGGACGTTCTCATGGAAGCATAGTTTAGGATAATTAATTGTGATTATTTTTCTTTTGTGTGTGCTTTACCTCAATTAGATTACTTTTTAAAGCCAACTAGATCAGGTACATAACCGTACTAGTTACGGGACTCGGGGGAATGGATAACATCTTCTCCTCGAGTCAAATGAACCACCTACTCGGAATTTCTGGTGCAAACTGGTTTTAGAGTCTACTCCTTCCGTTCCAGTTTATGTGAACTTATTTTTCTTTTTAGTCCGTTCTAAAAAGAATGACCCCTTTATAAATTTGAAAATAATTTAGCTTAAACTTTCAATTCTACCCTTAATGAGAAGCTTTTATAACCACACAAATGTACTAGACTCCTTTCTGACTTGTTTAGGACCATAAATTTTAAGTCTTCATTTTTTCTTAAACTCCGTGTCCAGTCAAATAGATTCACATAAATTGGAACAGAGGGAGTAAGTGTGTTTTAAAAGGAATTTTTTTTAGAAAAACGGTGACTTGGCACACCGAAATCAAATGTTAAGCGGTGACTTTGTAAATCTTGTAAACACAATAGTTTTGTCCGTTTTCAATTTTGAAAATCCTTTTGAGCTTAAAAGTCCTTTTATCTATTTTAAACGGGTTAAGCGAAAAAAGGGGTGTGACAACTCTTTTATAGCTATATTCTAACGAGCCACCAACCAGCAAGAGAGTATTTTAAGCTATGTTTCTTTTTAAAACTTAGTAAGGTTTAGTGCTAATGCGTAAGCATGTTTTCCAGGGAATTGCGTCTGAGTTACCAAGTGTAGAAATAGTGAGAAACACTAGAGAGATTGATCACTTTTATGGAATACAAAATCACGAATGGTATGGTAGTGTTGCTACAAGTCATAAGAAAAAGAAACACGGATAGCATTTCTGTAGAAGATGTATAATATCATGTAGCTCATTGGTTGATAATTCCGAAGGCTATGAACCAGCAAAAGAGGGACCAAGAATCTGAACTGCATTACTGCAAAATGTGATGCCAGCACAGCTTGATGTCGCTCTTGGCCCAGGACGACATTTGGATCATTTGTACCTGAAATCATAACCATGAATTTTAGAGTACGACAGAACAATAACTAGGCAACTGGAGGCAAATCCTTACATTACAGCATATTTTCGAATACATCTTCTGACCCTACACCATTGGCTTCTCACAGGCAAGGTTCCCTCCCCGCCATATCATGATCAACATTTGCAATTAGATAGCATCGTTGTGCCCTTATCCAATGTCAATGGCGTCTTCTGGAGCTTGGGCGTACCGAGATCGAACTTCCGAGTTCGAATCTTTGTCCAAAACACTGAGTCCAGTGGGCAAAATGTTAGAACATCCGCGAAGCGAGCATACAATTTAGGTATTGCAAACATGTAAACTAGACAATTATATAATTCGGAGATTAGAAACACTAACCTCTTGAAAACGTTGCACAAGTCCTCCACAGAGCAAGAATCCAGGACTGAAGTCTTCTGTTATGCTCCTAATAAGACCTTGGACGAAATTGTTTTGAGTGGGCAAAACAATACAACTTTGAAGAGTGAGTTATTGGGTGAAAAACGTCTTCCTTATGTAGACCCGAAATTCAGCCAAAAGGGGGCTCAAAAACGTGTAGGATTCTGCTTGTGCAAGTAGAACCCTACTCTAACTCTAAAAGGATGACTTTTTACCCAAGTTTGTCCAGGTTTTTACTAGGTATAGCATGAACCACATAAACAATAAGAGGCTACCAATTATAGCATTAATTCGAAAATTTGGATGAATTAATTCCTACTATAATTAATTGCAGTTTATTCCACTAAAAAACTGCAATTGAACTCCTCAATATGAATTTCGAAAATTATTAACACTTATTTTAACTCCCCATGTAAGATCACAAATAGCAGTTAATTAAATTAAATCACTCACAATTTAATTTAATCAACTAATTAAATCCATTATAATTCCGCTTAAACTATTTGATGTGACAGATACAAAATCCATCGGCTGAGTTTTCACATGAAAACTTATAAGCTTACATAAAGGGGTATCATCAAACTCAAAACCGAGTCATGGATTCTATCAACTAATTATTATTTCACAAATGATATTCGTTATTGTCCAATCTATTCGACATACACTAACACCGAATATAGTTGTACCTTTTGATAAATCAAAACAATAAACAAATCACATTGATCATAATAATTATATCAAGATTAGGAGTATAAGCTGATTTAATGAATTAGAGAAAATATTTTATATATATATTCAGTACAATAACATCTTTTCTCTACTTGGTCCGTTCAATATACACTAAGCATACTAGCACAAAAAGTCGGAGTAAAATCACTCTCATAATCAAGATAAATTATACTTTAATATTGTGCTACAATCATCAAGATATTTTGCCAAATAATATCTTCGATTATGAACATAATTTATTAGTTATGAGAACCGAAAATTTAATCTTCTGTGCATGAGCTAAGACTCCATACACTAAATTGTCCGCTACATAACTGAAAGACACATGTAACAAATGATCTATTTAAAATAGTAATTTATTGAATTGAATAAATCAAATAAATAATTATTCCATAAAGAATAAACACAATACTATATCTAATCAGCATGGTTAATAGTATATCCCAACGCAAAATGTCTTAACTGGAATCACAGATGAGTTTCAATTCAATTTAGTCCCTTCACAAACTAATTCATTTTCCTCCTCTTATTTGAAGGAAAAAGTTATGTTTATGACCGTTTGGAAGTGAAATTATAATTAAAGAATCTCGACATGATTGAGAGTTCGTTTGACAGTTTGGGAGCCACATGTCAATTTTGACTACATTTTGAATACTGCATATATTTAGCTAGTCAAGAGTCTTTATGGACAAAACATTATTAAAATCATTCTTTCTTTTCCTAGAGTTCTTCCATTTTGATTATATACATTATTACTGCTAAGTGCTAATGCCCTCTTCCCAATCCCTATAAATCTTACCGTCTCTGATATATATGCAGAGATGGATCCAGGATTTGGAGGTTTCGGGTGCCAAGCAAAAGGAAAAGATGAACCTTTGCCACTGACACCTTGACGACGTATCACCCCGAATCATATACATAGATCCGCCCTTTATATATGCATAATAAGAATCATGATGTCGTAAGTTTTAAATTTCAACTAAGGCAAAATGACAATATTTTTTTCCATTTATCAAAGTTTGGGTGAACTGAGCTATAAAATACCATCGCTAGTGGGAGGTGAAGTTAGTTGAGATGTCTATTTGTAAAGAAAGAAATTTGAACATGAGTAAATCGACGTAATAGGACAACTTAACAATTGCATATATTTCTACTCTGATTTCTTGCTGAAAACTCACGTGCGAAATGTTCCAAACTTTTTTTTTCACCTGTGTATTAATAAAATTTCCTTAAGGTACTGTTGTTCCATCATATATATGAGTGTTTCTTATATAAACGAGCTTGAGTATGGCATCAAAGGAAAGGATAGGGAATAAAAATAGAAATAAACACTAATGCAAATACATCAAAAGCTTACTTTTGTCATTTATTTATACCGACACCATGATGCGAACAAGGGTAACGTAAATGGAAATCATTTCCTAATTTACTTTCTAGGCAAACATAAATGTCATTTATTTGACAGAACCAGGTCCCCCATAAAAGACCGTATGCCCAAAATCCTCATTGGTAACTGGTTCATCAACAACTTGGTATAGCGCGTGGGCGTCTTCAAACCTTGATAATCGACCGGGATCCTTAGTTTTGCCAGCAGAATCCAGAATTGAAATTTTGCTACAATATGCATCTTCATTGGTACTTACAACTAGAGGAATACGGCCAGAACCCATTTGAGGGAAAGTAGGCACTGAACTAAATGTCTCTCCACCCCATGCTGCTTGTGATGCAAAACCCTTTAATCCTGTAAAAAGCTCGGGAGGCCAAAAACCAATCTGTGCAAAATCAGGACCATATCGTAGCCACCATCTTCCATTCTTTAGATCCTGCTCCAAAATCGTATATAAAAAGATTATGTTCATACATTGTACTACGTTCTACTAAAAAATGACTACGCTCTTAATTACTCTTTTAATGAGAAAATGGGAAAAAGGAGTTCAATATGGTTTTTATCTAACCCGTTCAATGAAGAACGTCTCCTCGAATAAGGTTCCAGGTCTGGTAGTCTTAAACACCTTGTCCAAAGGTATTTGCGTATTCACAATAACAAATCCAGGGCAACGTGTATTGAAGCATTGAGTTGTACCTGCCTATGTGATATAACATATTTAACTAATCTTGAATAACGAAATTTTATTAAAGCATGACTTACTAATTGAATGAACAAAAAAAAAAAAAGACTTACTTTGAATAATGAGTAAAATCTAGTATGAGTATCACCGTAAAGAATTGGATCCACCTAGATCAATAAACATAACATTCATTGTCAATTTTTTATACTCCTATCGTGTAGAAGCAACAAAAGGGGATGAAATTTCACTAGCAAAGTTAATTTATATATATTACTTACACGCCACCCAGCTTGTATTTGGTCACGACCATTTTGTACCTTCACGACAGATGCACTCCATTGGTTCGGAAGAACCTTTGGATTATACATACTAGCTGTTGTTCCAGCTCCCGAAATTTGGTTACGTGGGTCATTTGATGTTTGTTCTAGAGCAAACTAAATGTTCAAAGCAAAATAAGTAACAAGATATGTGTCGATAATAAAAAATAGTATCCTATAATTAAGGAGCAGCTTACATGAAAGGTGCCACGAGCATAACTAGCATTAAATCTCCTTTCTCTAATGAGATCTTCTTTGGTAGTTCTTCTAATAGGAACTGTTCCCATTGGACAACCACCATCTTTTAATCCCATTTTGAAGGAGCTATTGGATGTTGAGGATTCTTTGTCTCTCTTTAATAGGGAGAAAGACGGTTTCATCTAGGACAAAATTTCAATTCGGAGTTATTCTTACTTTCACAATAAATAGTTAAACATCTCTATAACAGCCTCGTTTGTTCCAGATTTTTTTGATTGTTATAGCGAATTGTTATTATATAAAACATATATTATAACATAACATGGAGATTGGTTCTAAAGAAATTTGGCTTTTATAGTGAATAGTTGTTATAGAGACATCTGACTTTACATTGATAATTGAACAAGGTTCAATAGACCAAATGGACATACCTGAGGATAATAAGTATGATTCTTCAATAAGGGATGATCAAATGCCGGTTGTTGATAGAAATCCACACAGTCATAAATATCTCCATATTCAGTCTACAAAAATAAACAATATTGCTCGTTATTGATTTTAAATATTTATTCTTTATTCGTAACATAATTTTTAACTCTATGAAAAGAAAGAATAAGAATCTACCTTAATAGTTTTGATTGCTGGCTTATTTAAAAGCTTTAGTTGCCTCCCCAATTCTTCATTGTCCTTCTTTGATAAGCCCTCAACTTCATAGTTGAGAAAAGCCATAACTGCAATCAAAAACTGTACAAGTACGCATAGATGCATTCTTGTGATTTCCATCCTAGAAAAGTTTTTACAAGATATTATTAGAGACGATCAAACTAAACATAAAGCTGACTATAATAAGAGAAATATTCTGCAAATAGCACATGATAATTAGAAATTTAAGAAAGAAGAAATGAAGTACCTGATTTCTTTAATGGACTAGAAAAGTGATTGGTCCTACAAGAATAACACACTTTATATAGGAATCGACAGGTATTCATAATCCCGTAATTTTATTGTTCGCTTTGATTTTTCCTTAATTATAGTGGTTATATTGATATATTGATATTGATTCTTACAATCTTTCTTGTCCATAAATTAACAGATACGAGATTTTCTCCTTAATTCTTACATTATGGCAAATCAGATCTTTACTATAATATTTTGGAGAGAGAAGTACTGTATTAATTTAATTTCTAATAAATGAGAGCTTAAGATATTATTGGAGACAATCGTCTGCTTTTTTATTTATTTATTTTTTTTAAATATTTAGATCACCATAAAATTTTACGAGCTAGTTTTTCCTCATGCAACTCGTCTGAAGTGGCCAGAATTCTTCAAAATTATATTCATATGAGTGGCTTATGCAAGCAATTGATTTTCCTCATCATATCAAAGATCTCAAAGCTTCTAATTATTTAAACAAAAATCATATCATCACTTGACATGTTCAAACAAATAAACTGAATCGAAAAGATTGTTCAAATTTTATCATAAAATTATAATAGTATTACTAACGTACAAATGAACGAATTTACCCTTGATGCTGATTAAGTTTATTTTATACCATTTTGGGCCAAAAGCAACATTTGAATAATTAATAAGATCATTAAGTTGATACTACCGTATCATTTTAATCCTTCAGAATTATACTCTAAAACTGCAAAGATATGGGAAAGAAAACGAGAACAAAAAAGCCAAGCTTTTTCGGAACCAATTTTTATGTTATGTTAAAATATATGTTCTCTATAACAGCACTTCGGTATAACGTCCAAAAATATTCGAAACAAACGACGATATTATAGAGAGGTTTGACTGTATTAAGAAGAAGGTTTATCCTAGAATAATTTTCAGAACAGAAAAATATAATTTCCATATTGGTTTTCAGCCTGAAAGCATGACTTAGTAGTATTAAACGGGAATACTACTATTCCCTCGTGTATACGAAAAATTAGGAACGAATACGTCTTCGCACTGTAACTCTAGGATTATATTCGTCACCTAGTAATACGAAAATAATATGGTATGTAATCAATGGAGAAGTTGATTGATACTAAAAGATTCAATTCATAATCGCATAAAAAAGAATCAAAAAATTAAAGAAAGTAACAAGGTCATTTTGATACTGCCAAATTGGTTTGTTTTTGTTACTTTGTGCCAAGATTCAAAGAAAAAAAATGTCATGACCCGAAATTCCTACCCTCGGGATCGGCGCTTAACATTTCACTTGCTAGGCAAGCAACGTTAGAAATAGTTTTTAGCCATTTTTAACAGTTCAAATTAAATAATAACCAAGAATCTGAATAAACTAAAATAGAGTGAGTAAACTATAATAACAATGATATCTAGATACGATCCCAGAACTGGTGTCACAAGTACACGAGCGACTAGAGTACTACAAATAAAAGTCTGAATGAAAAATATAACTCTCTGAAATGAATAAACAACTGGAGTAAGGTAGAGGGGGACTTCAGGGCTGCGAACGTTGTGCAGCTGTACCTCAAGTCTTCGTAAAACTCCGAATCTGAGCAATCTACTGACCGTCGCTGAAACCAACTCCAAAATCTGCACAAGAAGTGCAGAGTGTAATATGAGTACAACCGACCCCATGTACTCTATAAGTGTCGAATCTAGCCTCGACGAAGTAGTAACGAAACTAAGGCGTGTCACTTATATCAATCTACACGCTGTATAATAGTAATAATAGGAAAGAAAAGCAGAAAATAACGGCAAAGCAGTTAACTAATGAAAACAAACTAAATCCTCGAAATCAATAAATCCAAAAATATTAGTTCTCAAAATCTAATATGAAAATACTGAAAGCTAATACAAAACAACAATGAGTACAACACACACGATCCGTTGCAGCGCGCAACCCGATCCCACTGTATAAACAAAATCCTCCCTTATTTCACCATATCAAAATCAAAAATCACATATAAAATCCGTTGCGGTGCGAAACCCGATCTGTGATGATGCAAAATGTCATCTTTAAATTTAATAATTAATTCTGTATTCTAAGACCTCAAAAAGCACTATTTATTATTCTTCGACTTGCGTGCACAGTCCGTTAATTTTTCGGAAAGTTTTATGTGAAAAATGAATTAAAATGTCAAATAGAGTTTTAAAACTCAACTGAGTTGACTTTGGTCAACATTTTAAGAAAACGGACTCGGATCAGTGTTTTGACAGTTCCGGTAGATCTGTATCGTGATTTGGGACTTGGGCGTATGCCCGGAATCGAATTCCGAGGTCCCTAGCCTGAGATATGGAATTTTGATGAAAAATTAAAAGTTTGAAAGCTTAATGATTTTTAAGAATTTACTGATATTAGATTTGTTGACATCGGATCCGTATTTTGATTCCGAAACCCGATATAGATCCACTATAATATTTATGACTTGTCTGAATGATTGATCACTTTTCTTCTCCAACAATTAACACACTAAACCTAGGCAATCTAATTACTAGCTAACAGATCATGTGAAATTTTCTTTTAAAACGCTCTGTCAAAGGCAATAAATACATGATGTGTTATTCTCGTACATTTTACGTTCATTTATCTCTATTTAGTTAAATAAAAGTCTAAGTTAATAAACTAAAGCAAAATAACTCAAGTACTAGAGTTAATATATAATTTTTTCCCATGTATGGTCTGTAAAATATGTTTTTATTATTGCAAGTGATATATTCAAAACTTAATTTGGTTGCTTCTAGAACATATTTATGTCATCTCAAAGTTGAAAAAAAGAATACCTAGTTCCATTTATCATCCATACATGGGATAACCACTTTATAGGGCTAATTTTATCAGACTCCAAAAAGAATGATAAAATTTTAATTAGCTGGGAAATTGCACTTTGATCCTAGCAAGTATTTCTTCTTATTTCCCGAACGTATATAATTAATCATATAAATCATTTAATCAAATAAATTTACTAGAAGGTTTTGGTCCAATAATTATACACCAGTGTTTTAAAAGGCGTGGGCGTAAGGCGAGGCATTTTACATATGCTTCAGCGAGGCGTAAGCCCCATGTGTATTTAATTTTTAATAGTTTATATNATATATATGTGCTCCATCCCCACAAAAAACTGGTCAAAATAATCTATTATACGCTACTTACAAGCACAAGTAACTTGAATCGAAAGAATAAAGTTTTATACATGGAGGAGCAAAAAAGTTGACTAACCTGCAATTTGAACTTTGAATTCAATTTGTTGCTACGAAGAAGAATGGAGTTCTCTTTGTATTTGTTAAAAAAATTAAATATTTGTTGCTTTTGGGAGATATTAGTAGACTAGCGGACAAAATAAAGAATTGGGAGATATTAAATTTAATACATTTCAGTTCCTTTTTAAAATTTTTGAGTAATTACAAGCTGACTTTTGATAATTTTGGTATTATATGAAGGGCTTATTCAACAAATATTGTTTTAATTTGAAAAAGTCTCTCGGGCTTACGCCTCACTATAAAAACACGCCTCAAACGCCCGGGCGTACGCCCCGATTGCTAGGCGTACGCCTCTTGAGACTTTCGCCCCACACCATCACCTTGGACATTTTTTGTGGGGCTCGCCCAGAAAACACCTTTTAAAACACTGTTATACACTATATAAATTGGACAACACGTATGAAGAAGGGGAGATAATACACATTATCCAACCAATTAGATGTCCAAATATGAATTAGGAATAAAGAACCCAAACACCCGGCCACAAATTGGTTAAAATTAAAGAATCAAATGAGCTCCAATAAATCAAAAGTTACACCGTGATTGATTCAATGAACTAACTGGATGGTTTAAAACACGTGGTCTTTAAATCTTTTGGACCAACAAAGAGTTTATTCGTTATTGAGGGATTAAAAGTGGAAATCCCAAAAATATATTTCTAGTAGTCAAGCCATGCAAACTACAACAAACAACAACCCATTATAATCCCACTAATAAGGTCTGGGAAGGGTAGTATGTATGCAGATCTTATCCCTACCCTGGAGTAGAGAGGATGTTTACAAACAACAACCCATTATAATCCCACTAATAAGGTCTGGGAAGGGTAGTATGTATGCAGATCTTACCCCTACCCTGGAGTAGAGAGGATGTTTCCGATAGACCATCGGCTCCCTCCCTCCAAGAACTCCCCACCTTGCTCTTGGGATGACTGAAACTCAGAACCTCTTGATTGGAAGTGGAGAGTGCTTACCACTAAATCAATCCACTCTTGTAAACTACCTTCGCCTAATTATTGTTACCCTCAGCAATGCAGACTTTACCTGGTCAATTATGGTGCTTTTGTTAAATCAATGGATAATTGAAAAATGATACATCCATCCATAATTTCCAAATTTATGCAATTATTTGCAACAATAATTCCCAATATATTTTTAAAAACGTTTTATTATTGATGGGGTTTATTGAAATTTTCACCTTATGGAACTTATTCGCGACCATAGTTCCCAATTTTGTAATTTTTATTTATTTATTATTGATGGGGTTTATTTAGTTAATTGTGGAAGGCATGGAACTTATCAAGTAAGCTAATCCTCAACCCCCCATAATATTTCTACTTGTCTATTCCCTTCTCCCCACCTTTTTTTTTGTGCCTCAAAAAGTAGATTTCTGTAAACGACTTAACGAAATAAAGTTGACCAGGAGATTTATAATATAGAGGTCTTCTTTACTATCCATAGAAAAATCATGTTCTTAAGATACTTCATTAATTACAAAATTTCCAACTTCCCAGAGGAGAGTTCGGATAATGCAGGTTTAGATATATCTCAACTAGGTGTGTACAAATAGAATCGAAAAATCGTACAAAATCGAAAAGTCAAATCAAACCAATTAGGTTTGGTTTGGTATTGAGTAAAAAAACTCGAACTAAACCGACATATAAATATATAATATTTGTATATACTTTTAAGACTTTATATAAAATTTTCTTTAAAAAATGTCTAGAAATATTTGGGATTCTCTTATGGGATGTAATATTTAATAGAATATGAAGTGCTTCATTTTTATTAACTTTAAATAATGGGGTGTATGATCATTTTCTTATTAACTGTTATTGAAATGCGTCAATCTCTTTGTTCAGCTTCCATATTCATATGTCAAAATCTATTAAATTCGTATATCTTTTTCGAATTTGAAGTGATATTTCGATAATTTAAAATTAAATAGAACATAATTTATGTATCATATTAATTTTTATGTTTAATTATTAAATTCAATTAACCTTGAAAGTGTACATCAAGGAAAACTTATTGTGAGACGACAAAAAAATAACTATTATGTGTTACTAAAAAACTTTTCCCTTAAAAATATTTTAATAGATCATATGTCTATTAATTTTTACTAAACATATATATTACTTATAAAAAATTTAACAAAGTAAAATTAAAATTATATTTATCTAACAAAAAAAATCTGAAAACCTGAAAAACCCGACAAAACAAAACCATTTAATCCAAACCAATATAGTTGATTTGATTTGGTTTTGATAAAAATTGAACCAAACCAATCCATGTACATCCCTAATCTCAACTAGTTGTTACACCTCGCGGTATAGGATGAAAGAATAAGTAAAAATCATAGATACATATAGCTACAAACTTTAGGCAATTGAAACTACTGACAAGAGACAAACAACATTACATTTTAATCCAAAAGATAATATGTTTATCTTCAAAATCGGATAACAATTAAATTTATAAGTGGTTTTAAAAATATACAGATTAATTTGATATAAATCGATAAATTGAGTTAAAATGGACAAGTAAAGATACAGTAAATTCAAACCACGCGAGTAGGATGATTCCAGTCTTGGTGAAGCATTCGCCCTCAAACCGGGCTCACAGTGGAAACTTTTGATGAACGAGAGAAAAAGTTCACAATAACAGTGAAAATAATTGCGTGTTACAATGTGTCTAATAAATTATCAGACCCCCTTTATATAGTAGAGAAATCCTACTCTAAGTACAACTCTGTAAAGGTAAAAAATCTTTTGTTTAACTGATTACTGGTCCTTTATCTATACGTACCGAGATCCACGCCGTAATATTCGGCTGGTCGTGAATATTACGGCATTCTCTTGGCCGTGTTCGATTTTTCAGGATTTGGATCGATCTCGACTCATGACCCCGATATTTTCGAAGGCAGACAATGTGTCCCCAGATTTTGACTCGATGGGACCTTTACTTCGATCCTGATCATTCGCGATCATCTTTGAGCCCGTTTTACCCTAATGGAGGCCAAAGTGTATCATGAGCCTGATTTTTACCCATATACAGAAAGTCCCCTCGTTTCTCGCTCGTTTCTCGGAAAGCGAGCTGACGAGAAACGACATGAACATCCCAATTCCTTCTCCAATACATCGTGTCATAAACGACAAAAAGACCGAAATGTCTCGTTAGTCATGTCATAGTAGCATTAAATACACGCCAACCGCCGGTCGGCTGTCCCTGGAGGCGAAGGGTCACAGAACCACTATAAATAGCCCATCTTTCATTCATTTTTTACTTTATATTGAACCGTCTACCCTCTTACCCTCAGGATTTCACTACTCCTTTTCACGTTCTAGCATTTTTACCTCCGTTATTCGAGATTCCTTTGAAATTTTTACTCATCATTCATTTTAGCCAACACATCTGAGCTTCCAGCTTTCAACCTTTCTCTATCTCTTTCAAGCTTTCCCCTATAACAATGGCAAAAACCTCAAAATCCGTTCCCCAAAAGGTCGCCTCTACTTCCCAAATGACTGCCGAAACTACTTCCGATGTGGTTGACCTCGGGAGACCTGCTGCTAACTTGGCTATCGATGAACCGGCTTGTGAACCTCCCTTGAAGATGTTCATTCCCGGAGGTTGTTCGATCGCTGACGACTTCAAGGTCGAGAAGCCTTCTACGGTACAAGGTCGGCATGAGGATGCCTCGAGATACATTTTGTCACAACCCAAAATTCACCTAGTCGTGATGGCACCTAATCCAACCCGTCAGGTAAGCCAATTAACACTAACCAATTGAAATGATATTTATTAAGAAAAGAAATGATAATAAAACTGCTTTTATACAAGAATTTCCCAAGGACTGGTAGTACAAATTATGAGCTTCTAAAATTAGAATTTACAAAGATGGTATGAAATAAATACACCATCTATTCGAAATGTAAATAAACAGATTAAAACTTCTAAGGCTACCATGAACAAGAGGTAGCTACAATCGGAACACAAGTACATCTTTAAAATCCCGCTCTCATTGATCAACATCAAATATCTGCACGTAAGGTGCAGAAGTGTAGTATGAGTACAACTGACCCCATGTACTCAATAAGTAACAAACCTAACCTTAGGTTGAAAGTAGTGATGAGCTGGAACACATGTCAAAGTCCAACACCAATAGCCAACGACGATTCATAACAATATAACAAGAGTGGTACAGGAAATAACTCATAAATAAAATGTACAGCTCATTCACAGTTTCAGAAAAATAGACATGCATTTCAAGTATAACAGTGAAAATCCAAATCTTTTACCGAAAATACCAAAATATGAGTAAGTTTGTAAAATCGTGATTTTTACTTCCAAAACGTTTCAACAGGTAAATGTTTCATTATCAAATGGCATGAGGAAAAGTACATCTCTATGCCTACATGTCAATGTGTCTGAGAAGTCAGGAATGACGTGATACCGTACAACATGAGAAAATATGCGTCTCTATGCTTGTATGTCAAGTGTGCATGTCAATGCAGTACAACATAGTGAAAAACTATATACATACTCTCAGAGTATCAATCACTAGCACTCAATAGGTACCCGCGCTCACAGGGGGTGTGTACAGACTCCAGAGGGGCTCCTTCAGCCCAAGCACTATAATCCGTACGGACAAATCACGTGCTGCACAGACAACTCACGTGCTATAATATAAATATCTGGATCTGCCCGGACAACTCACGTGCTATAGTATCAATATCTGGATCTGCACGGACAACTCACGTGCTGTACGGATAACTCACGTGCTGCACGGACAACTCACGTGCTGCACGGACAACTAACGTACTGCACGGACAACTCACGTGCTGTAGTATAATATCTCACAATTAGGCCCCCGGCCTCACTCAGTCATAAATCTCTCCAGTCTCTCGGGCTCTCAGAAATCATAAAAATCAGCCCCAAGAGAAATGATATAATGTATCAACAAAGAACAATAGATACTGAGATAAAATAAGCAAGTAAACTGTGACTAAGTACAAAACAATAATTTAGCAGATAATTCAACATGTACACGAACTCTGTGGGTCCCTACAGTGCCAACACATAATCTGAACATGATTTGTGGTTCAAATTCTTTACTACATGGAGAATGTACAGATAACAACAGATTATTCAATTACACAGTTTTATGGAATTTGACCAAGTCACAATTTCTACGGTGCATGTGAGCACCTAATTTTTGATCATGCTTGAATTTTTTTACCCCCACTCATCTCACCAATATCTCACTTCTCACTCCACTTTCCCTTGCTCCCCACTCTTTGTCCCCCCATTCTTTATTCCTACTCCACTCTCTCTTGTCCCCCATGCTTGTCCTCCATGCTTGTTCCCCATTCATTTTCCTCTATTACAAAAACACATCATCTCCACAATCCCAAAAGTAGGAGAAGGAACGGACCCCCTTCCATTTAAAACAAAAACCCTTAGACCCCAAAATCGAGCGGGGATCCTTCTTACTGATTCTCTCTTTTTCAACAGAGAAAACATCCGACCATCGTCTCCACCTCTCGATGATTCTCACAAAAGGGCCTAACCCCCATCTCCCCTCACACTCGCCTCTCACCCATCGACATCAACACACACAGAGTAATATATAGTAAAGAGTGACGAGAGGGAGAGGTTAGTTCAGATTCAAATTCGTCGCTGTTTATCACTTTTGGTCATGGTTCTTTGTCGAGTTGAGCCATTCTTCTTGAGGTTGTCGATTAAGGTTTCCAGTGCGAGGTTTAACATTCAGTCGAGTTTGTTCTAATCTTCTATTTCGTGACTCGAGACACTCGTTTAATCAATTTCAGCATCATTTTGTGTTATTCTAAGCGTGAGTTGTGGTTGTTCATTTGGTTGTTGCTGTTGTAAAGTTGCTGGGCTCCATTTTCAACTTTCTTAAGCTCCATTTGGGTGAGTTTTGTTGGTTTCGCTGCTGTTGAGGTAATTTCCCTCCGATGTTATGTTTATGGTCGATTTTGATGCCATAAAATTATAAGAATGTCATGTTGTGAACTTGAATCAAAGACTGTTGAATATCTATGGCTGAAATATGATTTGTATTACACTCTATTTTTAATTTAACAAGTTTTAATCAGTTTGTCCCATATGCTTCGTATGAATACATTATATCTCTGTTTAAGCACGTTAAGAGTGAAAATATCATTAAATTTAAATGTTATTGGTGTCCTTAACACTGAGAAAATGAAGGCTGGCCTCACTGCTCATTTCGATGAGCTTAATGCTTTGTCCTTTGTTTCTTTGTTAACTACAGTGAGCATGCCTTTGTAATGTGATGATTGTGTTTGTTTCTTTCCATTCTCGTTGGTTTTATGTCTTAAATTGGTGGAGCTCAGATTTTGATAAAGAACTGAGACTTTGTGCACCCTCTCGATTCTTGAGATGAGTACTAACATTTTTGGGCTTTATTGCCTTTAATATTATAATAACTAATTATCACATGTTTTCTCCTAATGAGTAGGGGACATTAAGAAGCATTTCTTATCAGCTAAAGTAATATATCTGTTACTTGTCTCCAGTAATATTGTTATTTTGGGGTATTCACTCAAAAGTGGCCAACTTTATCGGGTTGGTTGCTCCAAAAATTAGTTCTTGCTATTGAAGATGGTTTCCACAATAATATCTTGTCCATAATCCATGGCCTCACGCTCATCTCAAATTTTAGGAAATAAACATCTTATAAATATCCTAGTTTTGCTTTAGGAGCGATTAATAATAAATCATCGTGACTATGGGTACGGTTCCCGTGGCATGGTCACGATACGTAAATTCCAATTTGGGTGTGCATTTCATGTGACCCGACCATAAATTCAAACAATAATAAAAATAAACATGTTGTAGATCGCGGGTTCGGTTCCCGTGACGCGATTCGTAATATGTACAAAAATAAACGAGTGCGCGACATCGCGCATTGTTCAAATAAATTCCATAAATATTAAAAGCGGTTATAAAGTTAAAATGCACAATAGGTTTTAAAAATATTTTAAATCAGATAATTAGGCCAATCATTAATAGTTGAGCGACCGTGCTAAAACCACGGAACTCGGGAGTGCCTCACACCTTCTCCCGGGTTAACAGAATTCCTTACCTGGTCTTTTGTGTTCGCAGACCATAAATAAGAGTCAATTTCCTCGATTTGGGATTTAAAATAAACCGGTGACTTGGGACATCATAAATTATTCCAAGTGACGACTCTGATCAAATAAATAATCTCATTTCGAATAATGTCACTTTAATTGAAAAAACTTTCCTATCCCCTCGGGGAAAAGGAGGTGTGACAGTGCACGCCCACACGCCCGTCACCTAGCATGTGCGTCACCTGAAAACCGATCACATAACATATAATCCGGGGTTTCATACCCTCAGAACCAAATTTAGAACTGTTTCTTATCTCGAACAAGCCGAGTCCAATATCGAGCAAGCTAAGCAATGTTCCAGAAATTCCATTCTGCCCGTACCAATCTCCGAACATCTCGAATCTAGTCACAATTAATTCGATTTAGTAAATACAAATTATGGGAATTAATTCCATATGAAAATACTAATTTTCCAACAAAATCTGAAATTCCACTCCAAAAATCGCCAGTTAGGCCACATCTCGAAACCCGACAAAAGTTACAAAATATGAACGCCCATTCAACCACGAGTCCAACCATACCAAATTTACCAAATTTCGACATCAACTCGACCTTCAAATCTTAATTTCTTATTTTGAAATCCCTAGGCCCAAATCCTCGAATAACACCTGAAAAACACGTAATCTAGTCGAAATACTCAATGATAATTCAATATTATTGACTAAAAATTATCACAAGTGAGTTACCTCCAAGTTTTCTCGTGAAATCCGTCTGAAATATCACCCCAAACCGTGTGTTTGACGCCGACCCTTATACCCGAGGTTGAAAGAGAGCTGTTGGTAAACTCGGGTACGTCCTCGGGAATCTGGACCCTCTTTATGGACGGTGCTTCAAACGCAAAAGGGTCCGGACTCGGCATCGTACTGAAACCACCCACAGGTAACGTGGTTAGACAATCTATTAGAACTGTGAAATTGATTAACAACGAGGCCGAATATGAGGCCATGACTGTAGGTCTCGAACTAGCTAAAGGCTTAGGAGCGGAGGTAATCGAAGCCAAATATGACTCTCTCCTCGTGGTGAATCAGGTTAACGAAACTTTCGAGGTTAGGAAAAAACGAATTCACAGATACCTAGATAAGCTACAAGTAACTTTACACATATTTAAGGAGTGGACTTTGAAACATGTGCCTCGAGATCAGAATAGTGAGGCCGACACCCTCGCAAACTTAGGGTCATCGGTCGAGGACAACGAGCTCAATTCGGGGGTCGTCGTGCAACTCATGAGGTCAGTAGTCGAAGAAGGCCACTCCGAGATAAACTCCACAATCTTGACCTGGGATTGGAGAAATAAATACATAGAGCATTTGAAAACCAGAAAGCTTCCCCCGGATCCAAAAGAATCGAGGGCCCTGCGCACTAAGGCAGCATGATTCACCTTGTCCGAAGACGGAACCTTATTCAAAAGATTGTTCAATGGTCCACTAGCGATATGTCTGGGACTGGGAGACACCGAGTATGTTCTGAAGGAAGTTCACGAGGGCACTTGCGAAAATCATTCCGGTGCCGAATCATTGGTTCAAAATGTAA